CTTGAAGATTTTCTAAGCTCTGTTTAATTAGGTTTATGGAAACTGGTTACCTTTGATATATCTTTGGTGAGTGTCTAAAATTTTACCACTCCAGTAGGCCGGCCCAGTGCCAACCCTGTCTGGTGCTTGCCTGGTCCACCAGGCTGTTGCTGCTGTTGGCCCACTGGCCCACATATCTATCACAGCCTGATTAATCTGGTACCTGTTAGAGATATTTGTCCAGTTTCCTCTTGAAGACTTCTACACTCGTCCCAGCAGTGTTTCTGTTATCTTCCGGCAAGATATTGAATGTCTGGGAATACGGATGCTGATACAATGTTTTCTTATGGGGCCCACTGCCCCCCATCCCCGCTTATCACTGGGTTTATTTTGCACTTCCTCCCATTTCTCTCATTCCAGTATGTTGTTATGGCAGTGTGTAGATTTGGAACTAGACCCTCGAGCACTTTCCAGGTATAAATTATCATGTGTCTCTCTCCTCTGCTCCAGCAAATATATACTTAGGATTTTAAGGCATTCCCAGTAATTAAATGTTATATTAACTCTAGAGAACAATCTTCAAGATTTAGTCATTGACCGGTCCACGGAGGTGTTGACCCCCAGGAAAGCCTTCCTGGTACACCATTCAGGTATGCTGGCTATAAATGATCTCTGTATTTATTCCAGTTCCGATATCTCGCCTGACTTAACAGGGTCGTCAACACTTAACAATACTCTAAACTAGGGACCACAAACTATTTGAATAGTGTCACCACTGGTATCATTTTCTTGTTTTGAAACTTCTCACTATCCACCCTATTATATTCCTGGCTGTCATTACATTTGCTTTATTGTATTCTTTAAAAGAAAGGTTAGCCAACATAATCACTCCCAGGTCTTACTATCTTCTGACCCTTTTCCGTTTTATATACAGTGTCCCTTTTGAGTTTTACATTCTTTCAATATCTAAGCAGCTGGAACTTATCGCCACTGGACGTCATGTTGTTCTCCACTGCCCACTAGAAAACGCTGCTTATATCTTCCCACAGTTTGTCAGTGTCTTTTACTGAAGTGACTTTCATGCTTATTTTGGTGTCATCTGAAAATGATGATACAAAAAGTGTGGAGCGTGTTTTTATCTGTCTGCTATGAGAATGAGAAAGAGTAGAGGCGCCAGGACAGTGCCATGAGGTACTGAGCTTTTTACCTCGCTGATGCTGGAATTTGCTCTGTTTACTAGTACTGTATGTACATTTTGTGCTCTATGGGTCAGAAATTTGAAAATCCACCTGTTCACTTTCCCCGTCATACCTATGGCCCTCAATTCCACATGATCATGTTTGCCAAACGCCTTTGCATAATCCTTGAATATCACATCTGCATTTTGGTTTTCTTCTGATGCCTCCTTAATTCTGTCACAGTGGTTTAGCAGGTGTGACAAGCATGATCTCCCAGTTCTAAAACAATGCTGGTCTGGGTTATGTAGATTGTGCTAGTTCATTAAGTTTGTAATCTGCCATCTTAACACTTTTTTAAAGACTTTTATGATTTGGGAAGTTATGGTACTGATATGTAATCTTTGGCCAGCACTTTTCTACCTCCCAAAGGCAAAGGAGCTATGTCTGCACTCTTTAAAGTCTCTAGTATTTTACCTGTCTCTCTCTCTCTCTTATATATATTTATATATATATATAATATATATATATATATATATATAATATATATATATATATATATATAATATATATATATATATATATATATATTATATATATACATATATATATACGTGTCGAATATGTAAAACTGGTCAATTAGCAAGAACTCATTTAAAATTAAGCCCTTTCTGAAATTTTCTTTTATACGTTTAAAGATATATTTTTTTCATTAATGCTGATGTAAAAATTTATAATTTTGCACCAAAAGGAACTTAGAAAACTTACCTAACCTTATTATAACATGAGCAATTTATTTTAGCCTAACCCAACTAAATATATTTTAGATTTGTTTACAATCATTTAATATTAAACAAACACAGTCAAATATATTTTTTTCGTTAGGTTCAGAATGATTTTAGCGATATTATTGCATACACAAATTTTCACTTGTCTTACATGGCAAGATGAGCGTTGCTATTTAAGCCAAGATCGCAAGTTCTGCTTATTCGGCACGATATATATATATAAATACACACACACAAACACACACACACACACACACACACACACACACACACACACACACACACACACACACACACACACACACATATATATATATATAAATATATAATATATATATATATATATATATATATAATATATATATATATAATGTATATATATATATATGCAAAACAACCACTGTGAATGAATAGAGAAATTCCAAGTGCTTTCAAAAAACTTTCAAAAAACTTTCACCATCATTCACTCCATCACTGTCTTGCCAGAAGGGTGCTTTACACTACAGTTTTTAAACTGCAACATTAACACCCCTCCTTCAGAGTGCAGGCACTGTACTT